GACCCAGAAGGTCAAGACCATGGGTGCTAGAAGCACCAACATTATGAGTTGTCACTAAGGGATGGGAATCTAGATACCTCCCACCACAGATAACTATATTCTACGCATATACTATGTGCTGTACTGTCAGTTTTTAGAGAAGTAGAGATGCTCTTGGGATTTGTAATTAAAAATGTTTTTGTTAACTTTTTTTAACTTTAGATAGGGTCTCATATAGTCCAGACTGGTCCCAGACATACTCTGTATCTGAGAATAACTTCAACCTCCCGTCTCCACCTCCCAAGTGACACCACACCTAGTTTATATGCTGCTGAAGATACAACACAGAGCTTCATGCCTGCTAGACTAGCTCTCTGCCAACTGAAGCTACATCTGCACACCCAGCTATTGATTTTAAAGCCCCACTAGGAAGCTTGGGAGAGCATTTAATTAATAAGTGAAGTCATAACTTCAGCCATGTGGGCATTTACATAATATTTCATGTCATCTGGCAAAGACCCTGGCTGCTTTCTCCTTGTGTCTGTGTGGTCAGGCATTGGCCTTTCAACCAGGAGAGTGAACTTTCTTGGGGAGATTGACAAGAACAGATGAATGAGCTCACTGTGCATGCTGGATATCTGACTATATAACCAATTTCATTCCAGGATGTCAGAGTCCAGGATTTACTAAATCATTTTTGTAGGAGAATCACTCAACTCTAAGAACGTAGACTATAAGAATATTTGATGGGGCTGTTAATACCCACCCTCTTTCAATCACTGTACAACAAACATTGGTAAATAAAGATACAGTGATGAATTTGCATGGGAAGCCAGTTTCGCAGCAGCGTATAATTTACGTGCTAAGATCATGTTAATGTGGTTCCTGTCCCCTTCATGGGCCATGTGTTAGAAACATTGGTTATCTAGCCTTTTTTTCCATTAAGATTTTAAAAGCTGAATCACTAGATTTGGTGGGAAAGTCTATACCAGCCACAGGAGCAAGCTGAAATCTCATCTCTCTCTCACTTTCTCCAGAGTTCACTAGGGTTCAGGGGAGATGACACTGGATAGGCAAGGCAATGACATAAGTTTCCTGGTGTGTGTGTTTTAATGTCCTTCCAGTTGCCTCTGTGGTGAGCCAAGTACTCATCTTCACAGTTCTGTCTAAACTTAAAGCTTTGTTGGCTGAAATGAATACTTCTCCGAGTGGAATTTCTGTTTTAAGGGCTTGTGTGGAGACCATATTGCTAGCATAGGAATTCAGCTTCATGGATCAGGAAACAGTTTCAGGCTGTAGGGAATAATGTTCCCAGTTTCAGATGGAAAAACATTGAGTATCATGATTTTGGCCCTCAAAGAACAGCTATTCATGGCTGCCACATCGAATGCTGTCTGTAGTCGTGGCTTTGGCAATGAAGGCCAACTTTACCATGATGACTTTGGGTCTTTGATTTTTATGGTCCTAGATACCGTGAAAGTGGTTTGACTGGTGGGTGCAAATGTGTCTTTGTATGCATCTGAAGAAAAAGTGACTATGCATGTGTGTGCATTTAGGGTCTGTGTGTGTCCTTGTGTGTGTGGTTCTTTTTGTAATTTGTATACATTTATTTTTAGATTTATTTTCTATGTATGAATATTTGCCTGCATGTTTATATGTGGGCCGCATTCATGTCTGGTACCCACAGAGGCTGGAAGAGGCCACCAGATTAACTGGAAATATAGTCACCTATAGTTTTGAATAGTCATGGGTGTACTGGGAACTGAACCTGGGTCCTTCTGTGAAAGCAGCAAGTGTTCTTAACCACCGAGCCATCTCTCTGTATAAGTTTTAAAGTAATTTTGTTTGTTTTGTTTATGTGTTTGTGTGTATGTACAGCTGGTGTGTGGGTGAGTGCAGAGGCCACATGGGGGCATCAGATGCTCTGGAGCTGCAGTGCAGCTGGTTGCCAGCTGCCTAATGTGGATGATGAGAAATGAACTCAGGTGTGCAAGAGCTCTTAACCCCTCAGCTACTTAACCTCTGTGTAAAAAGTTTTAAGCAGGTTCGGGAGCTCAACAGTGAAAACTTTGAAGGTTGTATCTGCAAGATCTGGGAATGATGCAGGCTCTGGGGGCAGCTGAGTGAGGGAGAACTGGCTCAATTATTTCAGCTGCCTCTTGTCTCCCTCCCTCCTCCCTCCCTCCCTCCCTCCCTCCTTCCTCCCTCCTTCCCTCCTCCCTCCCTCCCTCCCTCCTCTCTCCCTTCCTCCCTCCTTCCTCCCTCCCTCCGTCCTCCCTCCCTCCCTTCCTCCCTCCCTCCTCCGTCCCTCTGTCCTCCCTCTCTCCCTCCTCCCTCCCTCCTTCCTCCCTCCCTCCCTCCTTCCTCCCTCCCTCCTTCCTCGCTCCCTCCCTCCCTCCTCTCTTCCTTCCTCCCTCCTCTCTCCCTCCCTCCTTCCTCTCTTCCTTCCTCCCTCCTTCCTCCCTCCCTCTCTCTTTCTTTACATTCTTAGGATTGTGACCTAGGATCACATGAATAAATTGTCACTTCCTTCAATATTATTCTGCCGTGCCAAATAATGTTATTTATGCAGACAAAGAATCTCCAATGTGATTTTTTTTAATGTTCCTTTCTTCCATCTGCTTTAGCTCCACACTGTCTTTAGGATCCTGTCCACAACTCCAAGCTGAGGGTCAGGGCCTCCATAGATCTTCTGACCCCACCTCCTCTTTTGACCTCAGTTCTTCATCCCTGGGGGCAGAGAAGCCTGGCTTAGCTATACAAATCACATCACACTTGCTTAAAAGCCATTGCAGCCTTTCCATACTGATTGGTCGGAGCAGAACACACATCCTGTAGGGTTAGATTAAAGTCTCTATTTCATTAGTCTGTTCCAGGGAGCTGCTTATAGCAGAAACCAGAGGCAATATGGCTCAGCTGAGCTTTCCCCGGGACTACTAAAACGGGCTGCTGCTCCTAGGGCCTTGCTGAACAGAGAAAGCTCATGCTTGTTGTTCACCTGCCTACTCATCCTTGGGCTTCTACCAGTTTTGAAAGAATCTGCAAGACAGCATTGTCCCTATTGTTTAAGGTAATATTTACAAACATGATATAGGCCCTGCAAGACAAGACTATCACTAGGAGATATTCATGGGACTGGTGGCCAGCTGCCCCTGCCAGGCCTCTGTCTCCTCTCTCCCTGTGTGCCTGAAGGCCTTGCCTTGTGTCCCCTTGCCTCAGATCTAATATCCCTATCTGTCTGAAAACCATTTCTCTGAAGGTAATATGAAGGAACAAATGTGAGAATTTCCCTATGTGTTGAGTGCAGAGCGCAATTCCCCATAAGTGTGTTCAATAAATGTTAGCTACTGTTACTGCCTTATTAACCACTGCCCCTTGCTTACTGAACTTTAAATCCATACATGGTACTCTGTATGAACCCTGTTCTTCCTGCCCTCAACTGCCTCACAGACCTCCCTCCCCTTTCTTTCCTGTCTTTGCCTCTGAATCTTTCCTTATCCTGTTAGGTTAGGCTCAAAATGCTGCCCTCTCCGGGAAAGCCTTTTCCCATTACCCCTTGCTTCCTTTCCAGGTGGAAATACTGGGCTTTGCTGTTAGCTTGATTAGCAGGCTGCCACTTGTTATCTTTCCCTGAGTAGGGACTTCAGCCCCACCCCTGAGGGTCAGGAGTCAGTTCCTAAACCCCCAGACTGCCACAAAATGATGCTTCTGTAGAATATAAGGGAAGAAATAAAGGCCATTTAAAAACATAGACTCCACATTTTAGATTTGGGCTGGCAGAGAATATGGCCAAATGTCTGAGAGAGGCTTGGCAAGTTTGCTGCGAATCCTGGCCCTCAAAGGAGGCAAAATTGGTTTGTGACAAAAGCTGTTCAGAAACTGACAAACTCTCATGCCTGCATCCAGTCTCTCTAATTCTCTCAGCTCAACTTCTCATGGTGGACGGAGCCTCACACAGGGTAGGCCTCACACAGGGTAGGCCTCACACAGGGTAGGCCTCAACAACTGGTTGAATGGAGTGAACTAAGGAATGAATGAGCCAACCAGTACATAGGAAATATTAGTTGTATTGGACAACAGAGTAAATGGTTGACCATGCAGAGCATATTTAAGACTCACAATCTTCTTCCTTAATGGCGGGTGTGTTGTTGAAGGAGCATGTTTGTGTGTGAGTGTTTTTCTCTTTGCCTTTTATAAAGCACACTTGTCTGCATTGTGTGTGAAGAGTAACTCTTTCCCACTTTTTAAAGACTACCAATCTCTGAGAGATGGATGGAGAGGAAGTTTATGGTCCCTACAGACTGTACATACTTGATAATTCCCTGAGGGGAAGAGGGAAGACATACCCCATGCTTCAGTAAGAGCAAGGTTTTCCAAAGGTAACACTTGCTCATTAGGGAGCAGAAGGGAGTGATCGTGAGCTTCTATGTACAGGAACTTAACAAGAATGACAATAACAAGACCCATGGAAGAGTGAAGGAACAGAAGTGGGAACAGATTGTATTCTGCAGTACCGCCTTCCGTCTTCACATCAATGTTCGATGGAAAAGATACATCTGCACCAAGTTCTCCTTCCTTTATGGTGAATGCACGATGGCTGTCCTTTGTTCATTGAGACAGGGTCTTTAGGTAAAAGTAGATATACATATCTGTCTCATTAGTTTACAGATTTTTTTTTCATCTATAATACGTGCTAAAACTATATGTATGCCAGATGATTGTTTTTTTTTAAATAATTATTTTTTTATTTAGGTTAGAAACAACCTTGTTTCACGTGCCAATCCCAGCTCCCTCTCCCTCCCCTCCTCTCCCACCCTCCCCACCAGATCCCCCAGCCCCCCACCCAATCTCCACTCCAATCCCCAGGGAGGGTGAGGCCCTCCATGGTAGATCTCCAGTAACTGTCATTTCATCCAGGGCAGGGCCTAGGCCCTCCCCCAAGAATCCCGGCTGAGAGAGCCTCCCATATTGTGGCATGGGCACTTTTTTGTTTTGAAACAGGTTTTCATGAAGTCCATGATGGCTTCAAACTCACTATGTAGCCAAGGATAACTTTTGGACTCTGATGCTCCTGTCTCTACCTCCAGTGTGCTGGGATTACAGACATGCACTATGATAGCAGTTCATGCAGCTCAGAGGATCAGACTCGGTCTTATGCATGCTGGGAAAGCACTCTGACAATTCAGCCATGCCCCTTGTCCCTTGCTCTGTCTATTATCATCAGCCAGGATGGAATTGTGTCCTGGCAAGTAGGAATGCTTGTCTGAAGACACCATTTTTCTCTCAGCAGAGGACCTGGATCAACCTCCTCTCTAATCCCCAAAACAAGGATGTGAGTCTTGAGGACAAACTATGTTCTTTGCTCTTCAGAATTCACAGGCTGTTGTTTTCCTCAAGCTTAAAAGACGGCTCATCTTGGGCATGTGCAGCTCCCACTCAGCCTCCCCCTTCCTCTGGCCTTACCAGTCTGTAGTCTATTCCCCCTTGGGCACTCTCCTTCCCCTGGGCCTGCCCAGTGCTCAGCTATCCAGTCAGTTGCCAGGCCTTTGTGGAGGTCTGTCATCTGTGAAGCAGCCATGCCTGGGGAGACAAAAACAGAAACAAGGGACTCCACATAGGGTGGTCTGCTATAGAGGTAAGTATGACCGGAAGGCAGGTTTGAAAGTGATGCTCACATGTCACAAATGCTGGATTAAATTATAGACCTCGGTGAGGGTGGTGAGGTGGGGGACCATATCATTGAAGCTTGGACATAAAGGATGGGTAAAAAATAGCCTAGGGAAGAACTGGGGGAAGAGTGTAGATCTTGTAGATCATCAGCTATCAGCCCTTAGCAGCTCAGACTGTCATCTACCAATCACAGAATGGAATGAACATGCTAGTTCATTTCAATAACACTGCTCACAGGTACATGCCAACACTTCCTATGTGTCAGTCACTATTACTGGGTAACAGCCTGCGTAGCTAGAATTGCCTTCCATCTGCACATGGGAAACTGAGGCGCTTGTAGATTAAAAATCTCAGCCCGGGTTAGCAGAAAGGGTGTGATGGAGCAGGATGTGAATGCCTGTATTTCTTTTTTTTTTTGGTTTTTACGAGACAGGGTTTCTCTGTTTTGGAGGCTGTTGGTCCAGCCTGGCCTCGAACTCACAGAGATCCGCCTGATTCTGCCTCCCGAGTGCTGGGATTAATGGCGTGCGCCACCAACGCCCGGCTTGAATGCCTGTATTTCACAGCTATGCTTTGACCATTCACACTGCTCTGCATGTGCTTCCAGCAAATTGCATCCCACTTTCCTTCTAAAGGCTGCAGTTTCTAGCACAGAGCTAAGTAAACCACTCCCCAATAAAGGCCTCCCATTTAATCAGGTTAGAGTTAGTTAGATCATCGCCAAAGGGTCCTTATTTAATTGAAAATAAGATGGGCTTAGAAGAGGGTTTGCTGACTGAACTGTGTGTTAATAGAGGTGGGATGATACCATGCCATCAAAACCACCCGGTTTCAAATAATCCACTTGCTACTTTGTCTAACACCAGGACGAGCTGAGTGTTTGTTTGCTTATTTGCTTTTGGTCCTAGGGATGGAGTCCCAGGCCTGGAGCATCCTAAGCTTGGGCTCTACCACTGAGCTATGTCTCTCAGTTCCTCCTTCCCCCATGGTGTCTTTGTGAGAACCAACTTCTACTCATTCATCAAATATTTATTGAGGAGTTACAATGTGCTATCCTTCATTCTAAACTCAAGAGATTCAGAATTGAACCAGCCTCTCCCTCATGCATTTTACATCTTCCTTCCATAATCATGTATGAAGCATGCTTAGAGCAGTGCCTGTGGGCTCTGCTGACTTCGTTATACTATGGTGCTGTTGTGTCATGCTTTTTATTTGCAGGCAGTAAGAACACATTTGTGGTATTTAGGTAGAGTGTGTCAAATAAGATGACCCAACAGGAATAGTAGGTAAAAGGTGTTGTCAAATTAGATCCTATAGCAAGGTGATTAAGGCTCTTTGAGGGTCTTCCTAATGGTCAATGTGGAATTATTCATGTGAGAGCCAACTTCAGTTTGTAAGAGAGTCAAAGTGTACCCTTTGGACCTTAACTGAGTATTGCTGACAATGTGTAGTGATGTTTCAGTGCTAACAAAAGGCCCATTAGCTCTTTATATACGTTTTTGTTATGTCAGTGGTCAGATAGCAAATATTTTTGGATTTACAAGCGTTTCAGTCTTTGGTAAAATACTCAACTGCTCAACTCTCCTGCTGCTACAAGAAGAAAGCAACCCTGGATGATCCGTCAGAAAATGAGTATGCTCTTGTGCTAATAAATCTTTATTTATAAAACCAAGCATTCAACCAACTCAAAGTTAGGAGATGTCTATTCAAGAAATTATGATGAATTATAATGTTGCCCTTGAAATGCCCTTTTTGAGAAAAGAAAGCACGAAATGGTAACACAAAGTAACATTGACTTAGTTCAAACACACAATATACTCCTTAGATACTTCTCGGAGTTTAGATTTAACTTTGAGCTTTTAAATGTTTTGTTTTGCATGGAGTTTCCTGATTGGTTGGAGAAGTATGAAGAACCTGGAAAAGACATCTTTCCTGGAACAGAATCAGCAGCAATCAACTGCCTCTGAGGAAGATGTTTCAGCACTGAGGGCTTTGCAGGGTTTAAGTGGATCCTGGAGTGGGTGGTTACCGCCAAGAATCCTTCTCTAGAAATGTCACATTCCAGAGGTTACCCTCTTTGGCAGCTGGCCATTGATTAAAATCTGGACCTAGTCCTTATTTTCTGAAGTGGCTACTTCCTGCTTGAATGGAAAATTGGCTCTGGAGACTGAATGGATCTATATTCTCTAGAATTTGGTGACCAACTTTGTGATAATCAAGGCTTCCTTGCTAGCCAGGGGAAGTAACGATTCTGAAACAGAGGGAAGAAAGTGTTTTCTAATGTTTCCTAGACATTAGAAATGAAATTGTCTTCCAGAGGCTTTAAGTGCCACAGGGCCGCAGCCCCTGACCTGCAAACACCTATCCCAGATAAAAGCAGGCAGTAATTAACATATCAATAGTTGGTAGATCTTAGGTGCCTGGAAAGTGCTGGAGGGTGTTTGACAACTTTTTCTTCCCTTAAGCTCTTTTGCTTTCTCTTTGAAGAACTATTTTCAGCAAAGAGAGACCCCTGTTCCAATCTATTTTGATCTCAAGGATGTCTGATTTAATATAATTTTCTCACGTTTCTTCCAACTTGCCCAAGGTGAGGAATAATTTACTTTGCTAGAGCAAAAGAATCAAGACTGTTGTGGAAATGGAAGCAAAGGAGTGGACTTCCCTTAAAAAAAAAAAAAGCCTAGACAGGTTTTGTATCTAGTGGCGAGACTGCCCCCTTCCCTTTTCAAGGGTGGGTCTCACTTGCATTCTGATGTCTCTGTGAATTTGTGGTGAGTAGGCGGTCATGCAAAAAGGGTCTGTGTTTTCTATCAGCAATGTCCTGTGTGTTTGAGTTTTGTTTGATGGGTGTGTGTGGAACCAGCAGAACAGGGGTGATTCCAGGTCATTGGATGCAGCGAGTAAATATGCCCCTGATTTCAGAAACAAAAAAAAAAAATTAAATATCTGCCCACTGAGGCAATGAGTGTAGTCAAAGCAAGGGTGGGCAGATGCTGGCTGCTGGTCACTGTGCTCAGAGAAGTGGCTGAGAGTGTGTGTGGGGGTGCAAGGACAGGTTCCAGGAAGACCTAGTCACTTCTTTGGAGCTTAGTAGGACCTAAAGGAGCCTGAATGGAGGATCCAACACAAAACATTTATTCCACAAAGGTTACTTTCAGTCTTTTTCCTCCTACTCTATGCTTGAGACACTTTTGGGAAACTAGTTTAATTCAAATAAAAATGTACGTGTGTGTGTGTGTGTGTGTGTGTGTGTGTGTGTGTGTGTGGTTTCTAGGTTCTCACATGTCAGAACAAAGGATTGTTGTACTAGGAACACATAGTAATAGAAATGGAGTTCGTGTGTTTTGAAAAAAATAAAAGAAGACATTCCCCTTGAGTATGGGCAGTGGTAGTGAACTAAGAAATGTCATATACTCAAAAAGCACTAGGCTGTGAGAGAGGCATGTTACCCTTAATAGGGCATTCACAGAGCCTTTCTGATATCTGTATCTAAGGCTTTCCCCATGCCTGCTCTGTGTAGTTCATGGAGCTCAAATAGGCAAGGGTCTCTCAATTGTGTCTATGGACTCCTAATGTATGTTTTATATATAGTCTTGATGATGCTTGCTGTGTAAACTCCCTGTCCTCAGCATCCACATGTATGCAGGTGCATGTGCACATGTGTGTAGAGGACAGAGGACAACTTTGAGCATCATTTATAGAAATGTCATTTACCTTGTTATTTTGTTGCTATTGTTGTTTTGAGTTTTGAGATAGGGTCTCTTTATTGGCATGGTACTTTCCAGATAGTCTGAACTGTGGAAGATAGGTGTGTGAGCCTTGGACTCTAGTTCTAAGTTACATACTTCTTATTGTGTATGCTACACCACAAGTGCCTCTTCGTAGGCAGAGGAAAGAAAAGAAGCCATTTCAGGTCCAGGCCGAAGATCAAACCGCTGCCTCAGACAGTGACCTTGGGAACTTAGAGTAGAGGAAGTGACCCAAAGGAAACTTGCTTATTCCTATAGTTAGATGATTGGGTGGGATTACAGAGGGTTCTAGAAGACATCCGATATTATACAATGTCAAAGGGAAACATTGACATGATAAATTATGACATAAATAAATAAACCCAGTTATTGAACAAATAGTACATGCAAAGTTATGCCTCAGAGGAAATTATACATTGCTTCTGTACTCATGAATCTTTTATTATGGCCAAGAAGACAAGATCCTCCTTAGTTTAAGAGAATAACTTTTGAGTTATGACCCAAAAAGATGAATAAGACATTCATGGAAAGAACAGTACATGTAAAGACCCTAGGGTACATGTTGGAAGATTCCAGGATGGGTAGCCTCCAGTGGGCCTAAGTATGATGAAATGGAATAAGAGGCAAGACCAATGAGGAAAAAGAAAGGAGAATTAAATATGAGGATCTTGCAGACCATTAGAAGATGATGGTCTTAACCTAACAGGCTGGTTGGATAGTTCTTAGATGGTAAGAAATGATGATGAGGGGCATGAGGAGAAATTTGAAAATCACTAGGGACCAAACCCTGATCTTTCCTCTACTAAAGGAAGAACTCAGGATTGCCACCTTCCTGTTGCAGTTGCAAGCTTGGGGACACTACCTAGAAAGGACAAGGGCTTGAAACAAATGTCCTAATCTGTGCCCTTTCCAAACTGGGAGAGTCTACAGGTAGAGGGGCTGATTGTAATAAGAATGACGTGTCTGCCTAGCATGAAGGTGTTCTGATGTGACTGGAAAACAAAAGGCTATTTTGTGCATTGCCAACTGTGGGAGGAATACTGCTTTTTCAAGGAGGAAACCCAGGAAGCTGACAGGGGAGTCACAGAGGAGAGATGGTCCTTTTCCTCACCTCCCAAATGCAGCCTGCTTATCTCAGATGCATCCTTCTCCTGTCAGGGAATAGACTATGAATCCTGGGGGCACATCTGTCCCCAGGAAATTATAAACATTGGTGAATCGTTCTGTGGTTGGCATAGTATGAATATCAAAGAAGGGAAGATATTTCCCTGTTGTGTTCAGTTATTGTGCTTGAGTCTCATAATGGCCTTGTAGATATGCCTTTTTCCATTTTAAGAGAGAAAGTCAGAGCATTAAGTGTCTTGGCCAAGGACATAGGAAGACTGAGCGTGGAGGCTAAATGTGAGGGTAGGACTCCTGTTTTAAATTAGACTTTTAGCGTGTTATGCTGCCTTATAGGACACAGTTTCCCTGGGCCCTCCTGAGTTGTTGTTTTTTCCCTTTGGTGGCCATAACCCTTAAGGTGCCTACAGAGAGCTTTTGAAGTCCAAGCTTCAGCACATATTCTGCTGTGTAGATGGAGCAATGGGGAAGGCCTCTGCTTCCATGCAAATAAGCCTGATGCTGCTCCTTCCAGAGCTCTTTGTCTAATGGCTACCAGGACGCTGCTGATGGATGTCTTGGGAATTATGATGGAGCCTAGGCTTGTGCACACATTACTGCTGGGGCCTTAATCACCACCAACACCACCACTCCACAGTGTCCTGCCCTCTCCAGTGTCCACATGGTCAACATTGGGAAAGTGTGATTAGTGACTTGGTGATGTGGTGTTTGGGTTGCAAACTCAGCTTGATGTGGGGTAGACTCTGATTAAGGGTCAGCCTGGAGAAAGCCTCAGTTTGAGTTCCAGTCAAGTGAAACTCATTCCACCCTCACCCCTCCAATTATCTGGACTGGGGGAGTGGAAAAGGGAGGAGCCAAAAAGGTCTGGATCACCATGTCCTGTTGTCCTGTCTGGTTAACTCTTTAACTCCCATCGATCAATCATCCAGAGTCCTGGTCACACATCTTTGCCACATGTTTCCCCCTCGCCCCATTGCAGTCTGTTCCATGTTCTTCTTGACTCCCACTGCAAAATTCCTCAGTCTATTGGAGGATTGCCTGCAATAACATGACTAACAAAGTAGAATATTGTAGGTGATGTTGTGGCTGATAGGAAATATCAAGAACCAGAGCAATGGAGTACAGGCATTGTCTCATTTGGGGAGCAGAGCCTTGTCCAAAGGCTCCCCGAGCTGTAGACAGCATGGGGGTGGGGTGGGAGGTAGAGAAGGGAAATCACTCAAGCAGAACCCTCCTTTATCTCCCAGCTTTCCAAAGTGTTCCATTAGGACCGGGACATTGCTTAGCTGGTAGTGTGCTTGTCTACCAAGCACAAGGCTTCTTACTGGATATCCAACATGGCATAAACCAGCATGATGGTGAGGGTTCAACCCTATAATCCCAGCACTAATGGAGTGGAAGGCAGGAAGATCTTAAGTTCAAGGTCAGCCTGGACTACATGCAGCACTGTCTCCAAAAACCAGACAGACAAACATCAATAAGCAAATGCTGTGGTAAGCAGATTTAAAGGTTGGCCACTTGCTAAATGGGTGTGGGTGGGAGGAGAACAAAGTAAGCCCTTCCTGAATTTCTTTTGAATTCTGTTCTTATAATCTTACTGGTGATTTTATTGGGTTAGTGTCCAATGTGTTTCCTTCTTTTTTAAATTATGTATGGTGAAGGATAACGGTGTGAAGCTAAGAATACTATTTTAAGAACTCCCTTCAATGCTAGAAAGATGACCTTTGGGTAGCTACCCCCAGAGCATCCAGCAATCGAGTTTCACTCACCTAAGGGTAGAAGGGCTTCAACTTGATCTCCTGAGTTGATGAGTATTTCACAATAAGCTTGTTCTGGTCCATTAGCTTCATTTCTCAAAATGCAGGTTTAAGAGGAATGTTTCCTGAGGGAGTTACTACCAAAAATGAATTCAATTCACTCAAACTTAAAACAGTCAAAGCTAAACATGGTGTTTACCTTAGTGGTGAACACTAAGTTCAACTACTTAGTGTTGAAGTGTGTGTGTGTGTGTGGTGTGTGTGTGGTGTGTGTTTACACAAGTGTGGGTATTGATGCATGTACATGTGTGTACATCCTGAGGCCAGAGGAGAATATCAGATGTCCTGCTCTGTCACACTTTGCCCTTTTGGGACAGAGTCTGTCACCCTACCTGGAGCTAGGTTAGCAGGTAGCAAGCCCCAGCCACACTCCCACCTCTGTCTTGCCCTGCCCAAAGCACTAAGGTTACAGGTTCATAGGAGCCATAGC